AAAGAAAGAATATCAAAAGAAAAAAAAAAAATCTCCCCGAAAGAGTTGGCCCTAAGTATCTGAACAAATACACTCTATTAGCTTTCGTTTCTTTCCACACGCATCTGTCGCGAGCTTCTTTCTTACCTTTCACCATTCTTCTTTGCTCGTTTTTCCTTCTTTTTTTTTTTTTTTTAGTTATCGAAATAGATCCTCGACTAGAAATGATCGAATTAGATTAGAGGAAGTTTTCGCTCGCGTTGGTCATTGAAAACTTTTGCGTAACATTTTGTTCGATTCGTTAATTTTTTTCCAATAACGTTCTTGGATCCATATATAGATAGGGACGAGTTAACCGAACAATCCTGACTTTTCTATAAGAATTTTTGAGAAACCTTTTTGAAAAACATTTTAAAAATATGGGATTTTGGAAGGATTCGCAATTCCGTCAATGACCCACGCACAAGTCAACGATCACACGCTTGACATTAGTGGCAATGTTCACTCACCTCGCAATTCAGTCAGATTCGAAATCAATCGATCCAACCCACCGGCAATCATGCTCTACACGAACTCTCCACCATATTAGTTATATCTCCGCTGTAAATGAACTTTCATTATTAGTTGCTTTCCAGATAGATCTCTCCGAATCGAGCAATACATAATTCGAAATTAATTAGAATTATCCTTAGGTTCTTCCTGGTATTCGCAATTCGATCGCTTCTCATTCACAAATACATATGTAACATAATTTTCCTTGAGAGAAAGAGGGACACTTATCGATGCACGATAATGACCAGGAATCGTTTCCACGATTAATTCGAGCGATTCTTTTTCTCGACAGGTGACGACAGCGACAGCGTGCGGGGCGGTAAGGCAACGTTGACCACACCACCGGCTAAGGAGAAAAGGAAGAACTTCTTCAAGAAGCCGGTAAACGATTTCGACAATCGAATCGCGATGTCTGTGGCTACTCCTTTTTTTTTTATTTTTATTTTTTTCTTATGCTTACACACGCGATATCGTGATCGCTTTGATTGATCATTTGGATCTCGGCGATACTAGTCGAAACGATAGTTCGAAAATACCAGTGCAATGTCTCGTCCAACGTTTCAAACGTTCGTCCTTCACGTTCACGATGGATTAGCAAGTTAATAATTGGACGAGTACCGATCAAAATTTTTCGTCGATTTGGCAAAGATTCGTCGTGTGCGATGTGATAAAACTTGATGACGTGGACGAGGCTTACGTGTCTAAATTTATCTGTCGGTGCTAGAAAATATCGTGGACCACGCGAGGACTAGCAGATTTATTTCTGTGAGTATGCGACTGTGTGTATGAAACAGTCTCTATATCTATTTCTCTCTCTCTCTCTCTTTCTCTCGTGGTGCATCGGTTGTGATATTCGTTGAACGAGGAAGAAGAAGAGGAAAGTAAGAAAGGACAGAGCATCATCGTAACATCATCGAGCATTCAGACTCGCACGTATAACTCTCACCAAGAGTTTATCTAATAATTTCCACGATCAGTTTCCACACGGAGTATAAACTTCCATTCACGATCGTTTATCAGCTGGCTGTTCCGTGAACACGATAGATGTTCCTATTTATTTTCCACGTCAAGTATGTCGATGCGCGAGTAGAGATTTCTAGCATCGATCGGATAACAGCGTCGAGTGTGTATCAATCTTAGCGGACCATTCTTTTTTCTTTCTTCTTACCATCATCGTTCATCATAGAACGACGATGATGATTCGATAGAACGAGAGAAAACGCACGGTCTATTCGTTGAAAATGGTTCGTCAATAATGTATATAGATATAATTAGCTTCTAGATATTTAGAGTACGTAGGAGATCGTTGATAGCTTAGGTATGATCGGTTAGTTTATCGAACACACTGCTTGGCCAAAGTGTCTTTGAATGACGATGACGATGACGATGGATACGAGAAGAAGAAAGGTCTTTGGCCGTGCAGGAGGATAGGTCGTATCGTGTCTCGTGTCGACATGGCCATTAACTGTTTTCAATGTTTTCAATGTTGCATTCCGTGCTCACGAAGTCCTACGTAAGTGAGAGACTATCTTGGGGCTGATCCTGGCGCGCAGGACCTCCTCTTGATCGGTCTGCGCTCATTTCCACGTCACGATTTCAGGAAACGACCACACCTTACGACGTTGTACCATCCATGAGGCCTGTCGTGTTGGTCGGTCCATCGTTGAAGGGTTATCAGGTCACGGATATGATGCAGAAGGCGTTGTTCGATTACTTGAAGCACAGGTTCCGAGGCAGGTACGTACATCTTTCATTCCAATTTCTTTCCGTTCCTTTTTACTCTAATAGAGTAAGTAAAATCGTTTGTAATCGTGTAATACGTCGATACGTTTCAGAATAATTATCACAAGGGTAATGGCGGACATTTCATTGGCGAAGAGATCGTTACTCAACAATCCAACGAAACGAGCGATCATGGAACGATCCACCAGCAGAAGCAGCTGTTTGGCCGAGGTTCAAGCCGAGATCGAGAGGATTTTCGAGCTTGCCAGAACCCTTCAGGTACTTTTCCCTTTTTCCATACATTTTCTCCCTGGAATAATCATCCTCTTAACAAAAATTATATTTCCTCCAGTTGGTAGTGTTGGACTGCGACACGATCAATCACCCGTCGCAATTGGCGAAGACCAGTCTAGCGCCGACGATCGTCTACCTGAAGATCTCCTCGCCCAAAGTGCTCCAAAGGTTGATCAAGTCGCGGGGAAAGTCGCAGATCAGACACCTGAACGTGCAGATGGTGGCAGCCGAGAAACTGGCCCAGTGTCCGCCCGAGATGTTCGACGTGATCCTGGACGAGAATCAGTTGGAGGAGGCTTGCGAGCACGTGGCAGAGTACCTGGAAGCTTATTGGAGGGCCACGCATCCCCAAGTGATCCCGGCCGTGCCACGTCCTATTCCTGCACCGGATGCACCGGTCGACGTGCTCACACCCCGCGTCACATCAGGTATCACGTTTATCTCGACGCGATTCTGCTCCATTATGGTCGTATACATCATCGTCGGGGATCTCGTAGCCGTGGGGTGACGAACTGGCGGCCTGTCTCCTTACTTTCTCGCTCCAAGCCTCCGTACAGCCGTCATGGTCTTGATATTAATTCGATTTTTACACTCTTTATTAATTTCCCGTTCAAATTTTCGTTTGCGAGGTATTTGTGATTATCCTCGATCGATGCCGAGGGCAGGCTCTACTGAGCCTGTTGTCCGCTTCATCCATCGAACAACAAAATGCTGTGAAATAATGAAATTTTGTCAGTTTT